TGTAGTACATATATGCATACACATAGGTGCATATACATGGATATATGTATATATAATATATATCCCTTAAATGATATCTAAGGTACTTTATTTTTATTTATTTATTTACTGTCCTTTTTTAGAGACAGGGTCTCCCTGTAGCCCCAGCTGGCCTGGAACTTGCTTTGTAGACCAGGCTGGCCTCAAACTCATAGAGATCTGCCTGCCTTTGCCTCCCAAGTGCTAGGACTAAAGGTGTGCACCACTATGCCTGGCTCTATTTTGTTTTTATTTTTAAGTTAGGGCTTGTGTAACCCAGGCTGGCCTTGAACTCAGTAGCTAAGGCTGGCCTTGAACTCCTGATCCTCCTGCCTCCATCTCCCAAGTCCTGGGATGACAGGCATGTTCTATTATGCCCACCTACCTCTGAGGTACTTTTTAAAAAGAATGCCCCAAATATGGCTTTTTCTAATAGGATCACATCAGAGCTAAAACTTGAAGTAAAAAAAATGAGATGTTTTTGTGCAAGAAGAGCTAGCTTTTTCATTGCAGTCTCTGGTTCTTCCTCTCTCTGTGTCTCTGTCTGTGTCTGTATCTCTGTCTCTCCCTCTCTCTTTGTGCATATTCCTTGTTCATTGTATGAGTTACTTGAATGTGAGAGTTCTCAGTCCTGCAGGGCACAAAGTCACTTTTCATCCGTCGTCACCTCGTTCACAGCTCTGCGGGTCAGAGGGGCATGGGGTCATTTGCACTGTTAGTAAGGATAAGAGGTTCGTGTTCACACAGGAGCATGAAGTCCAGGCAGTTCCAGGGCCTTGCATTCTGGGTCAAGAGTGTCAGCTGTGCTGTTCAGAGGACAGACAGAGACCAGAGTAGAGTTTTGCATCCGGAGCCTCAGCCACACATCCACATGCATAAATTAATAAATGAATAATTTATTGTTTATTTTTATTAAAGATTTACTTTAATTTTATGTGTATGAATGTTTTCCTGCATGTATGTAAGTACATCATATGCATGAATGCCTGCAGAGGCCAGAAGAGGGCATCAGATCCCCTGGAACTGGAGTTAAGAACAGTTGTTAGCCACCATGTGGGTGCTGGGCCCTGAACCTGGGTCCTCTGCAAGAGCAGCCAGTGCTCTTAACCACTGAGCCATCTCTCCAGCCTCAAAAAAATTTTTTTTAAAGATGTAGACCAGTAGAAGACGACACTGACTCTGAACTCAGGCCTCCCCATGCACATGCAAAGGTTCTGATCTGCACACACATACCACACACACAAATTAAGGATTTCTTTTCTTTTGGTCCTTGGTGGTCCAGTCCAGCAGACAGGAAGGCAGCACCAGCTGCTTAAATCTGCAATGCTTGTTTCACGCCATATCAGTGCTGCCTGTGTCCCATAATCATAGTCTGCATGTGTTTGGTGACACAGGAGATGGTGACATTCAGGGATGTGGCCGTGATCTTCAGCGAGGAGGAGCTGGGGCTTCTGGGCACTGCACAAAGGAAGCTGTACCGGGATGTGATGCTGGAGAACTTCAGAATGCTGCTCTCAGTGGGTGAGGACGGGGTGGGGTCACTCCAGCAGTGACTATGGCCTCAGCCGTTGGGGGGCCTCAGGCTCCTGAAGTCGTTCTCTATGCTTGGCTGTCTGACAGGAGCCCTGACGATTTCTCCTGCCTCTCTCCAGGCAGAAGTCTGAATATTGAGCTATAAATGGGTAATATTGGTTTGACATAAGACCAGTTTAGTATGTTGCTAAGCTGTTTTGGTTTTCTACGGTGCCAGTAACTATTTTTTACCCTGATTCTTTTTGTTTGTTTTTCTCTTTAGTGATATGGTTTTAACTTAAAATCTGCAAAAAAATGAATCCCAAGCTCAGGAGGCTGAGGCAGGAGGATTGTGAATTTGAGGCCAGCCTGGGCAAGACTCTGCCTCCAAAATAAATAAATAAAAGAACACGAACACCCATGTAATTTTTAGCTGGATTTGCCAGCAGTAACATTTCATCTCGCTGGCTTTAAAATCCATGTCCCCCTCTTTCATGTAGATCTGAGGAGCTGCAGGTTTCTCCCTAAGCAGTTTGGCATCCCATAATGGTTCTTGCTAATCTTGTCTTCACCATGATGGTTACAAATGGTGATTTCCTGACTTAGTTCAGCACTCAATCATGAGCTGAGCACCTTGTATCTAGTGGTGATGGGGAGAGGGCAGAGAATAGAGGTGCCTTCTCTGTGTATACGGTTTAATCTAGGATTTTAGAGTTCTGGGTTTTGGTTGTTGTTTTTGTTTCTTAGAGACGTTTCACGTAGCCTTGCTGGCCTCAAACTTATTATGTGGCTGAGGATGACACCACTTTCCAAGTGCTGGAATTGTAGGCTGGACCACCATGCCCAGCTTTCTTTATCTAGTTTTCACAGAGTGGACATCATCAACCTTTTGCTTGTCTTTTTTCCCCCACAGCCCATCAGCCCTCCAAGCCAGACTTGATAGCCCAGTTGGAGAGAGAAGAAAAGCTTTTCACTATGGAGACGGAAACCCAAAGAGCTGGGTTTTCAGGTGAGAATTACATAGCCTGGACATAGCGGCCAAAGAGCCCTTCTTGAACACAAGGGAGAATGTGTCAGCTCCATGGTTCCCTATTTCACAGTACTGTCATAGATTTGAAGCACTTAAAGCAGGGCCAGCGAGAGGGCTCAGCAGGTTAAGGTGCTTGCTGCCAAGCCTGATGACCAGAGTTCAATCCTGGTGACACATGTGGTAGAAGGAGAGAACTCCTACAGATTGTCCCGACTTCTACACCACATTATGGCAGTAGTGTACACACACACACACACACATACACACACACACACACACAAAGACACACATAAATAAATAAATAAATAAATAAATAAAATATAATTAAAAAAAAAAAAAAACCTTAAAGTGACTCATTAGGCCCTGTGGTATCTGCCCTGTGCTCTGGAGCCTTCCACAGTCACCTGCTGTCATTTGGTTCTGCCCATTCCATCTGTTCAGCTTGGGGCCCCACCATCACTTGTCGGACCTGTCAGCTGTGATGCCATGTATGCTGTTGTTACTTGCTCTTCTGCCTGTTTGAATGACTGAATGAATTGCAGCAGACACCTCATGGTCTTTGCTGTCTTGTTTCACCTTCAGACAGATAATCCGAGTGTCATTGGATGACGGCCTGTCTTAACTGTCTGGCTGTCCTTAAGCAGTCGTAGCTACGCAGTCATTATTGCTAAGTGGTAAGTCTAGCCAGTCAACCAAAGTATCAAAAATGAACAACATGGGGCCAGTGGGATGGCTCAGTGGATGGAGGTGCCTGCTGCCAGTTCTGACAACCTGAGATCGATTCCTGGGACCCTCATATAGAAGGAGAGAATTGATTCGCACCAGTTGCCCTCTGACTCCACATTAGCACCATGGCATATGCATGCACGCGTGCACACACACACACATTTCCAATTTACTTGGCCACAGCCCTCAATACTAATGTAACCAATACAGAGTCCAAGTCTGGATTTCTATCTGAAGAGCTGGAACACAGATTTCATTCCCTGTTCCTATAACCTTTGAGGCCCCTCTGGCATTCTGTCCTCTATTTTATTGCCCATGACCTGCTCAGTTGCTCTCCAGACTCCCTGTTACTCCCAACCCTTAGAGTTCTCATATAACAGGCTCCATATTCTAAAGTGCTGTTTTTGTTCCCCACAAGTCAATCCAAAGGAGGAAGTTCCTCAATCAAAGTTCCCCTGATACCTGATACACCCAGCCAGGTGTATCAGGTTGACAGCTAAAGCCACCCAGCACAGAAACTTAGTGCAGAAGGGTTTACTTTAGCTCCCAGTTCCAGTCCATTGTGGGGAAGTCAAGGCAGGAGAAGTGGCTAGCAGAGAGAATGGATGTGTGCAGGCCTAGTGCTCAGCTTTCGATATACAGTTCCAGACCCAAACCCAGGGAATGGGGCCACCCACTTTCAGGCTGGGTCATTCCACATCAGCTAGGTAACCGGACATACCCCCACGGACACACCCACCCTAATCTAGGCAGGTCCTCATTGAGACTCCCTTCCTGGGCAATTTGATTGTATCGAGTTGACAACACTGACCCATAGTTCCTATTTATAGATCTGTTAGATCATTTGCTGGCATTTTGCCCACAAGGTTCTGGTGACCTTTACTTGTCCCAAGTCCTCTGGTCCAACCTTCAGCTTCCTTTAAGGTTGTCATCATCAGTTCCTTCCCCACTAAAAGTAACAGTGTACATGCCTGTTTGACCCAGTGAGCGAGAGACTCACAGTGTGATTTATCCATCCGTGTTTACTCATCAGCAACTGATCACTGGGCAGGTGTGTAGGCAGTGAGGGCAATGCAGTACACACCCCAAAGTGCTTGTCCTTGTGATGTACATAAAAGAGATCAGAAGTGCTGTGTTGGAGGATAGTGTTCATGAGGCGAGTCCCCTGTTATTCCTCCTATCTGGACACCTTAGAAACAATGCACTGCCAGGGGTTAGAAGAGTGCGGTGTAGCCAGTTGTGGTGGTGCACGCCGGTAGGATATACTGAAGAAGAGTGCAGTGTTCTGTATGGTACAAAGAATGATCTACAGTAGCTGGACTTCTGGTTTTAAAGGATAGTTTAATCGCCAGTCATGGTGGCACTTGCTTAATCTCAGCACTCAGGAGGCAGAGGCAGGTGGATCTCTGTGAGATCTAGGCCAAGCCCAGTCGACATAGTGAGTTCCAGGTAGGCTGGGGCTAGGAAGACCCTTTCAAAGAAATAAATGACAATCTATTAAGCATATACAAGCCAAAGTAAAAGAATAAATAGAAGCACAGGGCTGAAGAGAGGGCTAAGCGGTTAAAAGCACTGGCTGTTCTTGCAGAAGACCCAGGTTCAGGTCCCAGCACTCATGGTGGCTAACAACTGTCCATTAACTCCAGAGGATCTGACGCCCTCTTCTGTACTCTCTGGGCACTGCACACATGCTTACACACATGCAGGCATCACTCTCATACACATAAAATAAATTTTTTTTTTTAATTAAGAAAAAGAATCCGGCACACAGCTTTAGTCCCAGCACTTGGTAGGCAGAGGCAGATAAGTATCTGTGAGTTCAAGGCCAGCCTGGTCTACTTAATGAGTTTCAGGCCAGCTGGGGCTACAGGAATACCATGTCTCAAAAAATACCAAAAAAAAAAAAAGAAGAAGAAGAAGAGGAAGAAGAGAACAACCAAATAAGAAGAAGGAGGAGGAGCAGGAAAATAGAAGCAGAGGGTGGAGAGCAAAATACCAAGTCAGGAGTTTACACCGTCCACCAGACAAGACAGGAGTAGAGGAGTAGACCGCAGCGGGAAAGGGGGACATCATCCCACTGGGTACTTACAACATCCAGCAGAAACTGCCTGGGGAAGTTGAGGCATCAGCTGGAGTTCTGAATTGAGCTTGCTCTCCATGCTGAACTTCTGACTTCTCAAATCCAGCACAGACACTTTTATAGCATGGGGTAAAAATAGTAACTTTTTGGAAATGGTTTCTCTAGCTGTTCTCAAGTACGTGATATTTTTACTCTTGGGCTGTTTTGCTGTTCCCTTTCCTCCCTGTCACAGTGTTAGTGGGACCAGCCTATCCCCAGGTTTAAAGGATACTTGATTTGGGGGGGGGGTTGTTTGGTTGGTTGGTTCGATCTTGGTATTTTTGAGACAAGGTCTCTCTGTAGTCCCTGCTGTCCTATAGACCAGACTGGCCTCAGTCTCTCACAGAGATCCACATGCCTCTGCCTCCCAAGTGCTGGGATTAAAGGAGTGCAGTCCAGCCCCTTGGAGGACTCGGAATAAACATGCTTGGACCTGAAGGGGGGGGGTGCAAACCCCACCTCTAGAGCCAACTTCTCAGTGAACTCAAAACAGCACATGACAACTTCCCAATGTAAAGTACATTCATGCATGATGCTCAGTCAATCCTTTAGCCAGTTGCCCTCAGGGAGGGGATATCTCACCAGCACATGAATATCTGCTATCTGCTTGTGAGCTAAGCTTTCAAAACTAGGTAACAAGCTATTTCTACCAAAATATACCTCCTTTCAATTTTTGCTGGTGCTTCAGCCTCCCTAAATGTTAAAATAACTTTCCAGGAAAATGATGTAAGCCAAAACCAGTGTCCGCCAAATTTCATCCATGGCTCATGAGCAAGTTGTCTCTCAGAGAGCCCCTGGCAGGGACATGAAACTTGGTGCGCTCACCTCCTTCCTCCTTTCTGATGTTCAAGTTGAATCCTGTAATGGTGTTTCATATTCCATCTCCACAGAGGCCCTCAACATCGTGAAACACGTAAGAGTCAAACCTGTACTGGTCTGCAGTGAGATAGAAGAGCTTAATATTCTAGTGTCAATTAATAGCTCATTAGAAGTAGGCCATGATGTCTCAAGCGTGGATGGAAGGTCTACTTTACCTTCTTGAGCACACCACCTAATTCATTTCCTTTTAAACAGCAATGTTACCATGCCCAGGCACCAGAGAGAAAAAGAAAAATTTGGTTTGTTGTTGTTTGCAGTACTGGGGATTGAATCCAGGGCCTTGTATATAGAAAAAATTATTATCAAGCAAGAAGCTCGGGCTGGAGAAATGGCTCAGCTGTGAAGAGCACTGGCTGCTCTTGCAGAGAACCCAAGGTCAGTTCCCAGCATCCACAAGAGCAGCTCACAACTGCCTGTAACTCCAGCTCTAGGGATTCAATGCCTCTGGCCTCCACAGGCACCTGCACTCACATGCACACATACATATGATTTAAAATAAATCTTTTAAAAGACAAGAAATAGGGCTGGAGAGATGGCTTAGCAGTTAAGAGCACTGACTGTTCTTGCAAAGGACCTGGGTTCGATTCCCAGCACCCTCATGGCAGCTATGAACAGTCCTTAACTCCAATTCCAGGGGAATCCAAGCCCTCTTCTGACCTCTGAGGCATTGTACTACACGGGTGCACTCACATACATGCAGGCAATATACTCATACACATAAAATAAAAATAGTAAATAAAATATTTAAAAAGATAAGAAAAATTTGTCCACTTGCAACTACATCCTTTCCAATTTGAGAAATATTTCCTCTTTTCTCCACTGCATCTCCAGACAGCCTATGATAAATTTGGTAACATGCTTAGAGTCTGCCAGGCCTTTTCAACAGGACCACCATATTTGTTGTTCAGATTTGTTAGAGAGCCCAGACTTCGAAGCATACAGAGAGCCTGAATTCAATTTTCTTTTTCCATTGTCATGTATTAATGTGATGTGCACATCTTATATGCATACAGACACGTGGGGAGTATGTGTGTACATGTGTGCATGTGTTTGTGTAAGCTAAGGTTGATGTTGAGAATCATCCTCAATCATTCCTCCATCCTCCTCTTTGAGTCAGGGTCCCTCAGTCAAACCCAGAACTCACCAGTGTAGCTAGTCTTGCTAGCCAGCTTGCTCTGGAGATCCCGTTTTTGCCTTTTAAGGATGGAATTACAGGTGGGCCACCTTACCCACTTGGTATTTATGTAGGTTCAGAGGATCCAAACTCAGGTCCCATCCTTGCACCACTGAGCCATCTCCTCAGTCTTAAAGCAATCTGAATTTCATGGCTCTTTATATATGTTGTGTAGCCAAAAAGGCATTTTCTAAGTACTTAGTACCAACATGAATTTAACTCAAGTTCATTCTAGTTTCCTGCTATGACCCAAGTATAAAATACTGAAATCTCCCAATAAAGTGTTCACTTGTACATTTGTCTGAATTTTCTTTATCCTCATAGGAAGCAAGGATGAATATACTATGGAGAATATTCAAGATGTGGGATTAAGCTCCCTTTGTCCCAAAATGCTTTCCTTGCATCAGACCTGGCAGCGAGGTGCAGGCATACTAACGAGGTGTCAAGATTCCACAGAAAGCTTTCAAGAGAAGAATATTGAGTTGCAAAACCAAGGTGTTTCTCCTTGTCAGCTTTGGGCAGGAATACCAATTCAGATTTCTGAAGATGGGAATTATGTGTTGCCTCCAATAGATGATGATTCTGGATATACAAAAAAACAAGAGTTCCCATCTCTGAGAGTCCAGCAGTCTTGGAGGAAATCGTATCTCACAGAGTCACGTAATTGCCAGTGTAAAGGTCAGCAAATGTCCATGAGAAATAATTTCTGTGGGTGTGACAGTATCAACTGGCTCTCATACCACAGTGACCATGTGGGATTACACAGAAAGGGAGGAAGCTGTGATCTCCATGACTACAGAGAAGATACTGTGAAGGTGGAGTCACTTAATCGGGGTTTGACTGAGACAAGGCCGAAGCCCTGTCCATGTACTGAGCATAGAAAGGCTGTGGGGGACGGCGGCAGCAACACCTACAGCGCTGACACTCATCTGCAGTTCTGCTCACTCAGTCCATGTGGAAAGGGCTGGAGTGAGAGACTATCTCTTCATAGTCATCAAAGTGTTCAGAGAGGAGATGAAGGTGATGAGGGTCCACCTCTGCAGTCCCCCCAGAGAGCATGTATGAGGGAGACACCATGCCAGTGTGGTGAGAACTTCCATCAGCATGCCCCTTCTAACACTTATGGACATACTCACCAAGGGGAAGCACCCCAGAGCTGCAGCCTTTATGAGAAAACCTTCAATTGTACCTTAGACCTTAGTAGTGATTTTAGGGTTTACATTAGAGAGGATCCCTATAAATATGAGAATGGTTTTAATCAGAATTTACATAACCAAGTTCATCATAAAATCTATGCTGAAGAGAATCTTTACACAAGTGTCGATTGTGGGAAGGATTTCACATGTCGCTCAAATCTTAACATTCAGCATAAAATTCATGTGGAAAAGAATCTATATAACTCTGAAGAGTGTGATCATTTCAGTCTACCCTCACGTTTTCAGGACTTTCCAATAGTCCACTCCAGGGAACAACCACATAAACATTATATATGCAGTAACAGCTTCAGTCAAAATTCACACATTCAAGAACATCAGAAGACTCACACTGGAGAAAAACCTTACAAAGAGGGTGGAAACAGCTGTAATTGGAGTTCAAACCTCAAAGATCATCAGAGAGGCCTCATTGGACAGAAGCCATATAAATGCAATGCCTGTGGGAAAGGCTTCAGTCATAGATCAGTTCTTAATGTTCATCAGAGAGTCCACACTGGAGAGAAACCATATAAATGTGAGGAGTGTGAAAAGGGATTCAGTCGGAGCTCCTACCTTCAAGCACACCAGAGAGTTCACACTGGAGAAAAACCATACAAGTGTGAGGAGTGTGGGAAAGGCTTCAGTCGAAATTCCTACCTTCAAGGCCACCAGAAAGTTCACACTGGAGAGAAACCATACAAGTGTGAGAAATGTGGGAAAGGCTTCAGTCGGAGTTCCCACCTTCAAGGCCACCAGAGAGTCCACACTGGAGAAAAACCATACAAGTGTGAGGAGTGTGGGAAGGGCTTCAGCTGGAGCTTTAATCTTCAAATTCATCAGCGGGTTCACACAGGGGAAAAACCCTATAAATGTGGAGAATGTGGTAAAGGCTTCAGTAAAGCTTCAACTCTTCTGGCCCATGAAAGAGTCCACACAGGAGAGAAGCCTTACCAGTGTGATGAGTGTGGTAAGAGCTTCAGTCAGAAATCATACCTTCAAAGCCATCAGAGTGTCCACTCTGGAGAGAGACCATATATATGTGAAGTATGTGGTAAAGGCTTCAGTCAGAGAGCATATCTACAGGGTCACCAGAGAGTCCACACAAGAGTAAAACCATATAAATGTGAAATGTGTGGGAAAGGCTTCAGTCAGAGTTCACGCCTTGAAGCACATCGGAGAGTCCACACAGGGGGGAAGCCATACAAATGTGAGATGTGCACAAAGGGTTTTAGTGAGAGTTCCCGCCTCCAGGCACATCAGAGGATCCACACAGAAGGGAGACCCTATAAATGTGAACAGTGTGGTAAGGGTTTCAGTGGGTATTCCAGTCTTCAGGCCCATCACAGAGTCCACACTGGGGAGAAACCCTATAAATGTGAGGCATGTGGAAAGGGCTTCAGTCAGAGATCGAATCTTCAAGCTCATCAGCGAGTCCACACGGGAGAGAAACCATACACATGTGATGCATGTGGTAAGGGATTTCGCTGGAGCTCAGGCCTTCTGATTCATCAAAGAGTTCATAGTGGTGAGAAGTTCTACAGAAATGAAGAATATAGTAATGGTTACACTTCCTCAAAGAACCTACACAGAAATGAAGGTCTATAAAATTGTGTTCTGTTTTGTTTTGAAGTCCTCAAGTGGGAACTGAAAACTTCCAGTCATTGGGGTTCTTTAGTAGGAAAAAGATTTAATGGAAATATGTTTGGACCCAGCTTGAACATTGATGATGTAGGAAAGCACACAGTGTAGAGCTCTAATGAGAGGGTTTCGCAGTAAGTTTGTCAAAACGTCAACAAGCCATTGCATAGGCTCAAGGGCATACTAATTTAAGAAAAATATGATAACATGGCCAGTTTTGTGTCCACCAGCATATAAGCCTGATGATAGAAGAGACTATGTCCATTGCTAAGTCTATAAAACTGTGGCATTTCATAATTCAAAATAATCACTCAGTGCTTTTTGCTAAATGAGTCAAAGTATGTAAAGGTATAATGTTTGAAAATTTTATTAAGCTTATTTTGAATTCAGAAGAATCTTGCAAATGATCTTAATATTATTGGGAGCAAATAAATCTTACTTGAAACATAAAACATCAAGCAATATTGCCATCTAAAACAACATCAATTTACTTGTAACCCTATTGGAACTGGTTCCTGACCTTTGTTGTGTCTTAAGTAAGGAGGTGTTGGATCTCTTAAGCAATTAGTCGCCTTCTATGCAATATACTGTTAAGTTTGGCTGTGTATGGGGTGTGTGACCCATGTGTGCACTTTAAATGACACTATGGACTGATAAGCCACATTTCAAGTTTACTGAACAAAAATGGAATGCCACATTTGACATAATTGAATTTTTACTTCTGCCTGAGTGTTAAAGCAGAGTTTCACTGTGACACTTAGAAAGTATAGGAAGAGATTATGGGTGACAACTGTACTTTTATTTTTTTGAGACAGACTACTCCCTGTAGTCCCAGCTGGCCTGGAACTATGTAGACTGGGCTGTCCTTGAACTCAGAGATCTGCCTGCCTCTGCCTCTCGAATGCTAGGATTAAAGGTGTGTGCCACCATGCCTGGCCGACGAATGTGCTTTTAGTAAATGTCAAAGTAACAAGGCTTGATTTTTATTTTTACACTCCATAGTTCCAATTAAGTCCATGTGATCTGACTGATAATTAAGTATGGTCTTTGTCTAATTGGCAAAGTGAGTGACAGGTTTGAAGGACTGTTCTCACTCCAGACACTTTCCCCACCCACACACACAAAGGGAACAGTCTTAGGACCTCACCCCCAGATGGCTGGTTAAAGAAACAGTATCAACAGAGACCCAAGGAGGGTCTCTCTCTTTCTCTCTTTAAGATTTAGTTTGATTATGTGATGTGTGTAAGTCTGGGTCTGGGTTTGTGCATGTGGGTGCAGGTGCCCAAGGATGCTGGAAGAGGCCAGAACAGTATCAGATCTCCAGGAGCTGGAGTTACAGGTGGTTGTGAGCTACCCGATGTGGGTACTGGGAACTGAACTCTGCTCCTCTGCAAGAGCAGTATGAATGCTTAACTGCCGAGCCATCTCTCCAGTCCTTCATGCATTTCGTTATTAGCCACCACTTCCAAGAGATCTTGCAAGCTTCATGATAGTTTTGGCAGTAAAATGGAGCTAGAGAAATCACTCACACAAAAGCAGACAAAAGAATTGGGCAAGGAAAGCATGGCACAATAAAATAGCAAGATGTGGTCTCAGGTCAGGTGATATGAATAAGTACACTAAACGTTAACGGTATAGCCATGCCCTTTAAAACAGAGATTGTTGGACTGGATAAAATGTAAAGCCTGGGGCTGGAGAGATGGCTCAGTGGTTAAGAGCACTGACTGCTCTTGGAGAGGACCCGGGTGATTCCCAGCACCCACTTAGCGGCTACAAATTGTTCTTAACTCCAGTTCCAGGGTAATCCAGAGCCCTCTTCTGACCTCCGCGGCACTGCACAACACAGGTACACTCACATACATGTAGGCAATACACTCATACACATAAAATATTAAAGCCAGGCATGGTGGCACACGCCTTTAATCCCAGCACTCAGGAGGCAGAGGCAGGCGGATTTCTGTGAGTTCAAGGCCAGCCTAGTCTATATAGTGAGTTCCAGGCCAGCTGGAGCTACAGGGAGACCCTGTCTCAAAAAGACCAAAAAATAAAAAATTTAAAAAATGTAAAACCCAATTATATGCTGTCTACAAGAAGAATTAGAAAACTAATCTAAAGAAAGACAGACTGACTGTATTCACCTCCAGCTGTGGAGATGGATTAGTGGGTAAAGGGCTTGCTGCACAAGCATGAGGATCTGAGTTTGGATCCCCAGAACCCACATAAGAGCAGATGTGGTAGTGTGCACCTGCAATCCCAGTGCTCCCACAGGAGAATCCCTAGAAGCCTGAGGGTTAGCTAGTGAATAGTAAAGAGACCCTGCTTCAAATAAAGTGGAAGGCGACTGACACATGAAGTTGTCTGACCTCTACAGGAACACTGTGGCACAAGTGTGCCCACACCCAAGAACACCCAAACCCACAAATCACAGAAAAAGTTGGGCCAATATTAACGTTAACAAATAGTTCATAACACCAGACATATACCAGAAGACACACTATACTAAATGTTTCTCTACCACAACAGATTTTCAAGATTCATAAAGCAAAACTGATAGAAAACTACAGTTATGCCAGGTGTGGTGGCCCATGTCTTTAATCCCAGCACTTGGGAGGCAGAGGTAGGTGGAACCTGTGAGTTCAAGGCCAGCCTGGTCTACATAGTGAGTTCCAGGCCAGCTGGGGCTACAGGGTGACCCTGTCTCAAAAAGACCAAAAGAAAACCACAGTTATAGGGGGGAGAACTTAGTACTCAATGATTAGTCAAGATGAAATCAGTAAGGATGTAAAGACTTGAACAACACTGTCAATTAACATTTCACACTTAGAGACTACGTCATTGAACAGTGATTGATTCCATATGCTGGTGTTGGTTTTAAGTATTTTTGGAACATTCATCAAAATCATATTCTGAGTCATATATCATTCCAGGTTTAAAATAAATAAAGCCATGTGTAGCCTTTTCTTTAAGCAAAATGGAAATTATATTTCTGGCCACTGCCCCCACCCCCAGATTTGAATTTTAACAGTCTACTTCTAAATTAGTCATGAGAAAAAAATGTAAAAATGATTTGAAGTAAAATGAAAACAGTGTATCAGAAGGTGTGGGATACCAGCACATGGTGGTGCACACCTCTAATCCCAATACTCAGGAGACAGAGGCAAGCAGATCTCTGAGACACAAGGCCAGCCTGGTCTACAGAGCTAGTTGCAGGTCAGTCAGAGCTACATAGTGAGACCCTGTCTCAAAAAGCAATTTCGGGCCTGGAGAAATGTCTCAGTGATTTAAAGTGCTTACTGCTCTTGGAGGACTTGAGTTAGGTTCCCAGCATCTATGTGGGGCTGCTCACAAGACTTGTAACTCCAGTCCCAGGGGAACTGACACCGTCTTCTGAACTCTAGGCATCTGCACTCAAGTGAATATACCTAGCCCCCTTGCAGTCACCGCCAGCGGCAGCACTCCTCCATTCTCATGGGTCCTTCGTTCTCACGGGCGTCGAGGCTGCTCCTCCGCTTGCCCTGGGCTGAGGCCACTCTTCTGCCTGCCCGGTGTTGAGGCAGCTCTTCTGCTCAACTGGTGCTGAGGCAGCTCTTCTGCTTGCCCCGTGCTGCCTCCTGTGGTCCCCGCTTCTGCCCAGTCCTGGACCCCAGGGCTGGTGAGGAGACTGTGTCAGTGGAGCCACATTGAGACACAGGAGACCAGGTTCAGTGACACAGGTCTGGTTTATTGCAGGAAGGTACAAGCTTATATAAGGGTAGTGGTCCAATCACAGCACAGCAAGTAGGATACCTTATTAGCATAACAGACTTAATGTCCTATCACAGAATAGCGGGTAGGATGCCTCATTAGCATACTGGGTTTCAGATTACAGAGCCTGGATTCCTGGAAACCACATGACCCTGACTGTTGCAATATCTAAGTGTTGCAATTTGGAATTCCAAGGGTGGTGATTAGGGAGTGGCCAGGTCTAGGCATCAGTCTCATGATCTGCCAAGGGAGCAAATGTCACAAGGCGTTCCTTGTGGCTCCAGTGGTCGGGCCCATTGCCTCAGGCCTGCTGTATGGCTGTCAATAAGACTTTCAACCTAGGCTCAAGCCTGTCTCCCACCCCCACCCCCCAGCACATAAAATAAATATTTAAAAAGGAGATGCGGGAGCTGGAGAGATGGCTCAGCAGTTAAGAGCCCTGGCTGCTCTTCCTGAGGATCTGGTTTCTATTCCCAGCACCCACATGGCGGGTAAGAATGTCCATAACTCTAGTTCCAAGGGATCAGATGTCCTGACCACTGTGGGCAGTGCATGGCGTGGGTGCACTTACCTGCATGCAGGCAATATACACACAAAATAAGACAATCAAGTATTTTTTTTTAAATGGAGAAGTCATATCAATATCAATAGAATACAAAAGTGACTACAGGTCTTTGGTACCCATGAAGTTAGGAATATATTCATAAGAACATTGAAAAAGGGCATTTCCTTTGTCCGCCTGACTTAGGGAAAGAGCTATTAGCCTTGGTCCATATAAGGAATTTTTATAAGTTTAACTTCATCTCAATTAAAAAAAATCTTCTCAAAAGACACTATCCAGAAAGTGGTGACACTGTTATTGGAGAAAATACTTGGAAAAAACTGTCCCTTAGAACTGTATACTAAAAAAAAGAAATATTATCATATGTATATTATGCCTCAATAAAACTGGCTTGTGAAGGCTGGGTGTGGTGGTGCAGGCCTTTAACACAGCACTTGGAAAGTAGATGCAGGTGGATCGCTGCTAGTTTGAGGCTGGTCTGGTTTACATAGGGAGTTCCAAGTCAGTCCGAGTTATTTGGTGAGACCCTGACTAAAAACAATTGACTTGTGAAATTAATGTCTGAACATTGCAAATAGAATTGTATGGAAAAACTCAAGAGGTGAGAAAAAGTTTGGAAATCAAAAGTCACCAATCAGTTACCTACAGTGAATACTTTGTTCTTCTGCAGCTCAGATTATACAGGTAAATAATATTGTATAATATTTTCCAAAACTAGGTCTAGGCACTTGCTGGCAAGCCTAACAGGCTAAATTCAATCCCCGGGACCCACGTGCTGAGTTTTCATCTGACCACATACCTACTGTGGCACATGTGCATCCCCACACAGACTAACTTGACTGTTCTATTCATTAGTACATGGAAAATATTTATTATAATATTTATTACCTGCATTTGTTTTATTTAGTTTTATTAAGATAGGGTCTTACTCTGTAGCCCAGGCTGACCTGGAACTCATGGCAATCCTCATGTCTCAGCCTCCCAAGTTCTTGGATAACCAATGCAAGGCACCACACTTGGATGTCTTACATGCTTTTTTAAAATTATTATTTGGGGGGGCAGGAGGTGGAGGGAGGCTGTGTCCTCAGAGGCCAGAAGAGGGTGTTGGATCCCATGAAGCTGGATTGATAAGTAGTTTTGAGCCACCTGACAAAGACTGAACTCAAGTCCTCTGGAAGAGCAACAAGTGCCCTTTCTATGTTTAAACCTTTCAAACACATAAAATAAAAATAATAAATAAAATTATTTAAAAAATAAACCTTTCTTTCTTTAAAAAACAGATTTTGGCCGGGCATGGTGGTGCATGCCTTTAATCCCAGCACTCGGGAGGCAGAGGCAGGCGGATCTCTATGAGTTCGAGGCCAGCCTGGTCTACTTAGTGAGTTCCAGA